ACCCCGTACGCCCCCTGCTGCTTCTATCTCAGCGGGGGGGGGGGGGGGGCGCGAATATCAATTGGTACGACGCCATTAGCACGGCTAATAAATAAACATCAAGTCAATTCGCTGTTAGCGTGGAATTTTGTTGATCACAGACCGGGTCTTGTCTCGTCTACCTTTCATGCTCAACCCATTATTGTCATCATGACCCCTCCCCTCCCATCCCAGCCTCCCATTTTTTTTTACGCTGTGGCTATTCTTCATACCTGATCCGTTGACAGGCCTTTCAAGTCTTATTCCTGTTTTGGCGTGTTGGAAGCTAGGGATAATTGGATGGCTGCCTTTGCTGCCTCTTCTCAATAAACAGTCTGCGGCGGAATGAATGGCAGGGCATATCAATATATTCACATGTCTCCTTTTCTCATGTATCTTTAAAAAAAAAATGGTCGCATTTATTAACTCTACCCCACTGCATTCTGCGGGCAAGTAAACAAACGTAGGGACATCAGATGAATATATATCCACTGTGCACTTGGGGGTGAATTCAAATTTAACTATGATTGAATGCGCAAGGGCGAGCGCAAGGGGGAACAAAATCATGTTTATCAACAAGCCTTAGGGCGTACTCACACCAGGACACTTGAACTGTGGCCCGACTTGGGTGGACTGTGGACTTTATTCAGGGTTTCTGCAGGTATCAGCAAATTTCATTTTCCATATTTTTTTAATGCCGTTTTTAATAAAACTTTAATACCCACGTCCATGTGGACAAATATGTTGACCGACTACAAATATGGTTGGAACTTTTACTTCACTGATGCAGCAATTTTACAAGACCGTCTTTTACGCACTATAAAGCGCACCATAAATAAAACTGTATTGTACTGTATTCCCTTTAGCATAGCTCCATCTAGTGGATGCTTAACGCAACCGCTATTGTCGCTTCTATTCTATGCACCTTATTAATGCGGTGCACCCTATATATTGGTTGACATCTTTTCATTTTCCTCGACATTTATTGGCAACTAAAAGTCGGAATGGGAGAAGAGAATATGGGAAAATCTAATCGATCACTTAGCGGTGATAACGCCGTCTAACGCACTGTCTCTCAACGGGGGAAAATCTAATCGATCACTTAGCGGTGATAACGCACTGTCTCTCAACGCAATGTTTTGAAATGGAGTACTTACTACTTGCCGTTGCTTTTAAACCACTAATTCAATAAGCCGGGCCCATAATGAAGATGTATGGGAAGAGCAGAACCATTTATCCAATACGTCACACTGTGTAATTCATACTTCAGTCTTCATTGTAGCACACGCTGCCCTACTTCTTCTTTTTTTCACCCCGACCAGGAGATGGCAGACAAATAGACGATCGCTAGAATTAATTCAAAAATGTGGTCGATTGTGTGGAATTGATTGTTGATTAATTGCGTCTTGAAGGAATTGAGGCAAGGCGGCGTCGCTTGAATGTAGACAGCAGAGGCACTGTTGATTCAGGCTTACCGAGTTGGCATTCCGGAGGACTATAAATAAACGCTTCCATAAAAAAAGAGAAAAAGAAATGCAATTTTGATGAATAAAATATAAATGCAATACTTTGACACACCTCTTTAAAGACATGCACCATGACGAACAATCCCTTTTTATGACGGCGCGAGACCTGTGTGCATCATTTATGAGAAGCCAGGTTGCATCTCAATTACCATTCATACAAGTCTGCCATTATGAACGATCATTTCCATTTTTGCGCTTTATCTTCTCAAATTATAACACATACACTAATGTACCCAAGGGGCGGCGGGCGAAGAGAACATCTATACCCTGACAGAGTATCATTGACTCCCACTAATGGTGAAGATAAGGCCGATGCTTTAATAAACCTCCCGAGTTTATCACGAGTGCATTCCCACACAGGGGACCGCCTGCGTTCGCCATCGCTTTTTACACGGTCGCTCCGCTGGCCTTAAAGCGGCGCTGATATTCGTAAATTATGCAAGGGGGATACTTACTGGTTTACTGAGTGAATGGCTTTAATTGAAGTGAAGATGCTTTCTCGAATGTCCTGCCTCAGGGTTCCTTTGGCCTTCAAAATCTCCACAAAGTACTGCAAAAGAAACAAGGAAGACGGCTCAGCGCCGACTGGGTAAACTTTTCATCGGTTGTGTCGTGCATGTTTGCATTAGTAAAAAAAAAATTCACAATAAGAGTCTTTTATTAACCCTTTCATGCACCGTGTAACCTGATAACATGATAAACCCGTCCACTGTAGTAACCGCCGAAAGGGTTAATGAACCCCAATCTCATTTTCTCCAGGCGTGATCGTCAGCACTTGTCGCGCCGCTGGCTGGCTTTTACCCCTCAGACAACTCCCGGCTGCAGAAGGAGGTTGTTGCAAAAGAAACAAGTCTCGAAAAATGTCGTCCCACTCAAGTGGCAGCTGTGTTGGTCTCAAGTCATTGGCAGTGGAAATGGGATTAGCAAATTGAACGAGCCACAAGGCTTAAAATGACTCCTAATTGGAGTGTACGGGCGGAGGGAGAGTAATTGAGTAGAAATTCGGCAAAACACCGGTGGGTGGTAAAGTCTGTTGGCCCCCGCAGGAAGTAAAGGCCCGCTACTTTCGGCGTGTTGCTATTCACTATGCAGACACCTTTATGTACTGTAGAACGCTGAATGGAAATGACTACAAAAGGTCTTACACTGTTCGTGACATACCGGAACCTTGAAAGTTCAATTCTCTCAGAGGGTTGAACTGTTTGAGGAAATAAAAGGAAGAAAAAATATCTTCATTTTTTTCGAAGGTGACGACACCACTTCAGAGATGTGCTGCATCGTGCACATCACGGGGCCAAACCAGAACGCGCTGCACTCCAAGAACATTAAAAAAAAAAAAAAAAAAAAGGTTAAAATGTTCTACCAATTTAACAGGACTACCTTTAACTGTACGCGCAAAATGCAGTCATACATAATACAAAAAGAAAAGTTACACAACTCCGTGACTCATTGAGCTGCAGTCATACGCGTGGGTTTTCACTGAGGATAAAGAATATATGCCTGTCAGTATTGTGTTTGTCCGTCTTTCGTTTGCACTGTTTGTGTTCAAATTAGGGATGGCCCCCCAATCACGTTTTTATTTGTTTGGCACCCAAGTCTGAGTCATTTGTTTTCAAGTAACTGCCAACACCGAGTCTTGATCCGATACATCGTCAAAAAATAAAATAAATAAAATAAAAAAAGAAAGAAAAGCACATCCAAATGATCTTATCTTATCAATCAGCTGAAAGTCACATGATATGATCAGGAGAACACGAGTTCAAATCAAAGCAACAGTGATGCTAGTTTTGTTCGCCCATCTATGGTGTTTTGCACTGTGTGTTAGCATGAATATAAAATTAATATAAAAGCGGCAGAGCGACGGCACGTAAAGCTGAATCACTCCGAAATCAATGTAGCGTTGTATGTGATTTTTTTAACATTTTTAACCTACAGTGGTGACTAGCCCAAGCTGTTGGCAGTAACGCTGCTCCGACTGCAC